CTGCATAAATGCATTTGTGCATCAAAATGAGCTCCTTCTTCTTCATCCCAATTCTTTGTTTACTCTTACATGACCATTTTAAATTAAGAAAGCTTTGTTAATACACTAAGGAAATCTTCCTATTATGTTTCCACTTTGTGCAGAATGTCTGACAGTCAGCTCTTTCCATTTATCTCTGTCTTCCCTCAGCTCTTCCTCTTCTGTTTAAAATAACAATGTGATAGAATAACTGAGAAAAATCATGTCTATTGACATGTGAAATGCTTATTTTTAATTTGTCTTAGTATTTATTCTTGATCTGTTACAGATGATGTACTTGACTTTTGTGAGAAATTGCAAATTTGTGTCACCTTCTACATTGCCGTCTATTCAATTTATGCGTCGGTCACTAGCAGAAATGTTTGCTTTGGATGAGGCTGCATCATACCAGCATGTGTTTCTTTACGTGCGACAACTTGCTATTTACCTTCGCACTGCTATTACACTCCATAAGAAGGTACAAGAAGGCAGCTTCATAATGGCTGTGTGATCATATATGCAACATTTTAAAAAAAATTGTTCATTACTTGAATTTATTGTTGTATTTTTGATAAATATATTCACATTGCAAAACATGTGATTTTCCAACAGGAGAATATCCAAGCTGTTTACAATTGGCAGTTCATCCAATCATTGCATTTGTGGACAGAGATTCTTGGAGCAACAGCTCATCGACCACATCTGCAGCCATTATTGTACCCTGTTGTACAGGTAATGTCTGTCATAAACTAGCAACCAGACCATCCCCTGTTTATTGGTTATTATTTTCTACTTAAAATAAGGGACATATCTGATTGGTTACCATATTGGGGATAACCATTAATATTTGTCATGGGGCTGAGAAGTTGTAAGTTTAGTGGATCTGAAACTCCAGACAGGATGTAAAATGCAATTTGAGATAGGTATCTTTTCCACCCCTGCTTTTGAGAATAATCTGTTCACCCTCTGGCTACTGCTGCTGCTGCTGCTACTACTACTACTACTACTACTACTACTACTACTAATACTACTGGCTTTCACTGTGCAGTTTACTCTGTTGTTGAATTAAACATGATTTAAAGAATGAAAATGGATTATGGTATAGAATTATTCAGTGTGGACACAATCTGGCAACTCACCTTAATGGATGAGGGTGAAAAGGGATTCCCCAAGCAGCAAAAATTAAAGCAATGCTCTTGACACCTACTGGAGGTTTTACGTTCATTGGTCCTACAGTGGAAGGCACTGCTTTTCTCATTTCATAGATGTTTTATACTCGCACATTTAAAAAGTGGCCTGGTTAGCCAACATAGATGAATTGTTGAACTATAGATCAAATATAAGGCTTGAGTTTGAGGAGATTTTGCTCTTTCAGAAATTAGCTGGAAACTGGCAATCAGCAGAATATTTCATGTACTTAGACAAGAAATTGGAGTAAGTTTGTTTTAAAAATTTATTGTAAATTGATAGGTGAGTGATATCTCACTGTACTGGAAGTACAGAAGCAAATTATTTGTGTGTGTTATGTTGTGTGTATTGAATTTGTTGTACCACCACCATTTATTCAGTTTACTATGTGTATGTCTGTTCTGAAGTACTCCTAACATAGGGTTCTTCCTGTTTCAGATAATTATTGGAACCATAAAGTTGGTTCCCACAGCACAGTACTATCCTCTGCGTTTTCACTGTGTGCAAATGTTGATTCAGCTCTCCAAGCAAACTGGAACATTTATACCTGTTTTACCATTCATACTGGAGGTAATGCTAGAAAGAACTTATATTCTTCTTTCATAAATGTGTCACTGTTGAGGGCACAACGTTTCTCCTGTGTAGAGAAATATACTGTTTTACTTTTGTTATATTGTTACTTTTATTACTGCTGTGGACTAAAACTACATCTCAATGGAACTGCAGCTGCTAACAGGCCCATTGCCCATCCACCAGATGATATGTAAATGAATATATACATCAAATCCCAGTCATAAAGTCTCCCAGTTAACCGAAATTGCTGAACACTGCTAATTCCACAGTTAATGACTGATCCTCTTTGAGTCCAGCATGGAGGTGTTCAGCCAAAGCCATCTCATGCGTTTCTTAGTTCAACTCTCAGACATCCATGAAAATAAAGTTCCTTCATAAAGGAAAAATGCCCTAGAATATGTCCTCTCACATTTCTGAAGAATAATAGAGACAATAAACTTCATTATAGTTCACTTATAACCTTCCACCTATATTACATCCATTCATAAGTTGCTTACAGAAATGATGATTGCTGATATTACCATCATGGTTCTCTTTATCATCTGAAGATATGTTGATTGTGTATTTATATTTATAAAATTCCTTTACAGGTTTTTAGTGGCTTCAACTTCAACAAACCACACAAAAAGGTATCAATGAAACCTTTGGACTTCACCTGCATTCTTAGGTTGTCCAAGTTACAGCTTCAGGAGAATGGCTTCAAAGATGCAGTGGTAGAGAAAGTTTACCAGGAACTGCTGGAGTATCTGGCCAGTGAATCTCATACTATCAGCTTCCCTGATATGGTGGTAGTGACAATCATGCAGGTGAACACACTCTTACCTGTAATAAAATCTTCTTGGGTAACAAGCTGCATCAAAATGGAATCATAGTCCAACATTTCAGAGACACTTTCTGTCTCCTTGATGGTGTTCTGTGAAGTAGTCAAGATGGTAACAGGGATTGTCAGTCTTACAACATTGTCTTTTCTTTTGTCAGTTGAAGAAGTTTGTCAAGGAATGTAAATCTGCTAACTACAGCAGAAAATTGAAGCAAGTTCTTGACAAGATCGAGGAGAATGCACGGGTTATCGAGACTGAGCGCAGCAAAGTTTCATTTCCCTTAAGTGACCGCAAAGCTATAGATGCGTGGGAGACAAACTTGAAACTGAAGGGGACTCCTCTAGCCATATTCTATGAGTTGTGGAATAAAGTGAACATACAGCAGATGGCTAAACGAGCTACTGACAGTGACAATGTAAGTAATATAACAAGAAATCAGTTGTGGTCTTCCAAGTTGTGATACCTTGTCTTGTAGGTTGATACCAAAGTTTTGGAGGAATGTTTGTTCAATCAGAAGTTGCTGGCAATTGTGTATAATTGGCTGGATATGTTGAAAAGTAGCTACAAGACAACATGATATCATATTGAAGAAAACTTATGCTGTGAGAACCTCAAATCTCACACATAAGTAGGAATTAATGACTTGGCTGTTCAGCTACTGTGGGTTAAGGTTATTAAAATAAGGATGGTAAAATGGACTGAACATGTAGATTGTCAGAAATTATTATTATTATTTAATTATTACAGCTTGGTGAATATCATATACCAACCTTAAAGAAAAATGTTAAGCGTACACATCCACAACATGATGATGGTCCTGTTGAATTGTTTCCTTCATCAGATGAATCGGATGATGAGGTGGGCTCACCACTGAGGTGAGGAAATGTAATTTTGTTTATTTTTATGCTTGAAATTGCTTATAATGGAATCCCAAGAAACCTGAACACTTTCCCATTTCCGACAACTTTATATTGGAAGATGGCTGACTTCTGGGTTGTTTCGCCGTGTAAAAGTAAAGTAAAGCTGTCCCACTATACACCATGTAGGTGCTTGGGGGGAGAGGAGGTATAGCTCCTACTCATTCTTGACCTCGGCACTAGATGGGGGTAAGTGGTCAGCATCACGCCCCAGCCATGCTTTACCCCTGGGAAAGGACCCTGGTACCCATTGTAGAGGAGGCTGGGTGGGCCACAGAGCCGGTCTGGATGCAGAGGCTAGAGGAAAAATCCTCTGCCTCCATCGGGGATCAAACCCCGGTCGCCCAGTCCGTAGCCAGTCACTATACTGACTGAGCTACGCCGGCTCTTGTTGCGCCGTGTAGTCTGGTAGAAGTTTACCGATCTTTCAGAGGTCCTAGCTGTATCCATCATTAGGGCAATCCTGATGATGGAGGCAACAAAGACCACATGGCACTACAACCCAGAACTCACCGATCTTCAAACTCACCGCCATGAAAACCTCAAATCCTACATAACTTTATTTGCTGCTACACAAACAATAAACTCGGAGCTAGAAGAAGCTAGTAAAAACATATCTGTACTCACAACCATTATGTATTAACTATTAAAGCAAACAAATAATCCTTTAAGTAGATGCATAAAGATACATAGGATCTGGAGTAAACCCTTATATACAAAGCTACATTATTACATTCAGCATAACATAGTGGCACACTAGCAAGAACAAGATGATTAAAGTTCTGTGTAGATAAGTATCTCTTATTGATTTTGACAACATATGGTAGCAAGTAAATCAGTATGGCTTACAGAAGTCAGCATCAGAGTATTAAGTAAATGAATTCAATGGCAAAAAATGGTCCCAATTGTTACAAAGTTTTGGTGGCCCGAGACTTTTTATATTTGTGACAAATAATTCTGTAATAATAGTAAGAAAATGTATACCCTGACCAAGCATTACATTATCATACTTTCAGTCCTAAGTAAGGGGTCTTCATTTCTGAATTGGCATTTGTCTGGACTCAGAGTAAACGTGGTAAAATATGTCTTACTTTGTACAGAAGAGTCTGCTCTTGTACGAGGTGCGATCGGAAAGTTTCTAGACTGCGCCTATAAAAACCTGTACACTTATCTCAGGTATCGCTGCCAAGCCTGGAAGCATCCCTGGAAATCTTTCTTTGTCAGCCTGTCAAGCACCATCTGCGATTCTGTCTGAATCTCTTCTATCGTCTCAAATCTCCTTCCCTTTAGCTGAATTTTCATCTTTGGGAAGAGGAAGAAGTCACACGGAGCTTAGGAAGGAAGTTGGGGTCGGTTCTTGCAAGATCTTTGAGTTCCTGACAAACGAGAAGTCGATTCTGCTTCTGGTCCTCAGACAGGAGCCTTGGTTTCGCATGTGGAGTTCTTCCTTTAGAATCAGCTGACAGGTCCCATAGCCTATCCCAGCAATGTCGCACAAGTCGTTGATGGTACGACGTCGATCTTCGTGAATGGCCTGCCGAATCTTGGTAACATTTTCGGGCGTTGTGCTCGAAGATGGTCGTCCAGAACGCTCGTCATCATCGACAGGGGTTCGGCCCTTTTTAAAACGTGAATGCCACACAAAAGTTTGTGCACGACCCATTGCGGACTCCCCAAATGCTTGCTTTAGCATTTCATAGGTTTCCGTAGCCGTTTTGGCGTGTCTTTGGCAAAATTTGATTTGTTCATGAAAATCTGCCATTCCGAAATCGCAGGAGGGTCGGTGTAATGCACTACCAAAACGCCCGTAACTAAGAAACAAATGCTAATTCGATGATGCCGGCTGGCACACTGATTCACTATGAATGTAGGCCGCACCCCCTAGCAGCAGAAGCTCGTACTACATCCGGTTCGCCCTCTATTGACACAGTCTTGAAACTTTCCGATCGCACCTCGTAATGCTGAGAAAGGTGAAGGAAATTTTTGAAGTTTCCATTGTGTTTGTTTCTTTCAAATTTATTGAGATAAATGCATACCTGGTATGACACCCTTCTTTAAATATATTACCTACTGACATCTGACAACATGGTGTTATGCAAAAATGATTATAATTAACTTCTTCATAATGTTATACCCACAGAAGAGGGAAAGTGCATTCTCTTCATGAATGTTCCAGCATTGTGTATGATAGAATGATTTAATTAACACAGGATGATTCAAAACCTGTGGCCCAAGTTCAGTAGGTTGTTAAGATAATTTGGAGTAGATAATATAAACAAACAGTTATCTGATTTGCTGTTGTTCCAGAGTTATACAGCATTTCAGATGTTTTGATCTTTTTGTATGTTTATGGGGTGCAGCCGTAATAGCATTACAAGATGGAACGCATAACTGTATTTGCTAATGTCTCACATGAGATATGACAGTGAAATAATGGTAACAGCAAGTCCTCACTGCACAGTTGTATTAAATGTAACATAAAATTGAAACTAAAAAGAGATAACATCAGAATCTTTGCTTTTCACTCATTGCAAAGTGGTGAAACATAACTTTCCAAGGGTGATGAATTGAACAATTTCTTTATGTTTTCTGCTCCGAACTATCTACACAATAACCTCCTGAAATTTAACCTTAGAACTCTGAATTACCATGTATGTTGCTTTCAATAGTGTCTCACCAAACAAGAAACAGCGTGGCACGCGTGGTGGAAAGGGTAGAGGGAAGATTCAGAAGGTGACACTGGAGAGTATGGAGAACACATCAGATGGAGAAGAAGATATTGTTAAGGACTTGAAGCTTTCTGACATTGAGTAGTGCCTACCCCCCAAAGAAACATTCTGTATGGATAAAGGTACATTGAATTTCTTCACTGTTCACTCCAAAGTGCATGTTTACCATACTTGGATTCAACTTATGGCTTGCATCTTCCATCCTGGCCTATTAATAAAACACATAGCAAATATTAGTTGCTGTTTTTCTCTGTAGGATTACTTAATTATTACAGAGTTTCCACAGGAATTTTTATGGATACTGCCAAAAAAAGTTCTAATTGATCGTTTAAATTCCAAGTTAAAAATAATTTTCAAAAAATTCGTAAAATTTTACTCCTCGATTTTTATGACATTTCTGAACTTTTAGAAATTTTTGAAAATTTTTCAAATTAATAGTCTTTCCACCAGACAACCTTACCAGCAGAGACAGGGTCCAGGCTCGGGTGCTTCAGATACCGAGTCCAGCAGAGTCCGGGTTAAGCACATACCATGTCAAGCAGAGACGCGGCGAAGCACAGACTGTGTAAAGCAGAGAGAGTGTGGGGCACACCACGAGTCAAGCAGAGCTCGGGTGCTTCAGTTACAGAGTCCGGGTTAAGCACAGACCGTGTCAAGCAGAGACACGATGAAACACAGATCGTGTAATGCAGAGGGAGTGAGGCACGCCCCGAGTCAAGCAGAGCTCGGGTGCTGCAGATACCGAGATCTTCGGAGTCCGGGTTAGGCACAGACCGTGTCAAGGAGAGACACGTTGAAGCACAGACCATGTAGAGTGAGTGTGAGGCACACCCCGAGTTAAGCAGAGCTCGGGTGCTACAGATACCGAAACCAGCAGAGTCTGGGTGAACCACGGACGATGTCAAGCAGAGCATGGGTGACGCAGAAAACTAGTCTGGTAGAGACTGTGTTCTGCCGAAAGCGGTTCTCATAGCGATTGAATGGGGAAAATTTTGAAAAAAAATTCGAATTTTTCAAAATTTTCCAAAAACAAAAAATGCTGCAAATTGCCTGAACAGCGCATAAAACAAAATTTTTTTGAAAAATTGGAGAGAAAAATTGAAGTAGACATTTTTTAGTTTTGTGAGCATTTTGGACATTTTCCTGATTTTTTTATTTTTCGTAATTTTTAAAATTTTGAAATTTTCAAAAAAATTCAAAATTTTAGTTTTTTTTAAACCTATTATAAATGACATGAAGAGCGAAAATAACCAAATATTTTTGAAATTTTCTAAAGAATTTTTGAACTTGAAATTTTTCAAAATTTTGTATTTATGTGCGCTTTTTACTCAATTTGCAGCATTTTTTGATTTTTCGAAAATTTTCAAAATTTTTACTAACCGGTCTCTGCCACAATGGAACTCTGCCAGACTCGGCCTTGGCTAGCCTCATTCTCTCCCTCACCAGGTCTCTACAGGACTCGATTTCTGGCTCACTCGGTATATGACGGACTCGGTCTGTGCGTCGCCATGTCTCTGCCTGACACAGTCTCTTCTCTCACCCGGGCTTTGTACAGCCGCCACGTGAGAGTATTATATCGAGACCAGTTTGTGCAGAGACCAATTCGAGCTGAGACGGATGTGTCAGAGACGGAACTACAGGGAACACGTGCGGCAGAGACCCATTCCGACAAGGGACTGATGGGAGAGTTTTGGAGAAGTATGCAAATTTTTAAAATTTACAAAAAATCAAAAAGTGCTGCAAATTGACTACAAAAAGCAGATAACTGAAAAAATTTGAAAAATTTCATTTTCAAAAATTTGGAAAATTTTTGGTTTTGTGTGCTTTATAGACAATTTGCAGCATTTCTTGATTTTTCGAAAATTTTCACTAAACGACTACTACCTGAATCGGTCTCTGCCACAATGGAACTCTGCCAGATTCGGCTTCGGCTAACCTAACCTAACCTAACCCAACCTTAACTAAGCTAACGTAACCTAACTAACGTACCCTAACCTAATCTATCGAGGCCGTTTGGTGCAGAGACCAATTCGAGCTGAGACGGGTGTGTCAAACAGAACTACAGGGAACATGTGCGGCAGAGACCCGTTCCGACAAGGGACTGATGGGAGAGTTTTGGAAAAGTATGAAAATTTACAAAAATTCAAAAAATGCTGCAAATTGTCTACAGAAAGGACATAACTGAAAAAATTTGAAAAATTTCATCTTCAAAAAAAATTTCTAAAATTTCGAAAATGTTTGGTTTTGTGCGCTTTTTAGACAATTGGCTGCATTTTTGATTTTTCGAAAATTCTCAAAATATTCACTAATCGACTACTACCTGAACCGGTATCTGCCACAATGCAATTCTGCCAGACTCGCCTTCAGCCAGCCTCGGTCTCTCCCACACCAGGTCTCTAGAGGACTCGATTTCTGGCTCACTCGGTATATGTCGGACTCCTCCTGCCGGACACGGTCTCTCCTCTCACCCGGACTTTGCACAGACGCCTAGTGAGAGATAATGTTATATCGAGGCCGTTTGGTGTAGAGACCAATTCGAGCTGAGACGAGTGTGTCAGAGACAGGGAACACTTGCGGCAGAGACCCGTTCCGACAAGGGACTGATGGGAGAGTTTTGGAAAAGTATGAAAATTTTCAAAATTTACAAAAATACAAAACATGCTACAAATTGACTAAAGAGTGCACATAACTGAGAAATTTAAAAAATTTCATCTTCAAATTTTTTTTAAAAAATTGGAAAATTTTTGGTTTTGTGCGCTTTTCAGAATTTCCAGCATTTTTTGATTTTTTTGAAAATTTTTAAAAATTTGAATATTTTTTCTTAACTCTCCCCAAGAGATATATGCCTGCCAAACTCGGTGAATGCCTCACCCTGTCTCTGCCGGACTCGGCCTCTATCACCCAGCTGCTGCCTGCCTCGGTGTCTGCACCAACTGGACTGCAGGACACCGGTTAGTGTCTGCCGCACCTGGCCTCAGAGAGGGCACGTTACAGCCGTGTCATACAGAGACCAAGTCAGGCAATGACCGCATTCGTCAGAAACACTGTACATCACAGTCCGAGAGAGACCGATTCTGTATGGCATCAGGTGGGGGAATTTTGAAAAATTTTCAGAAAATAAAAAAATGCTGGAAATTTTCCAAAAAGCGCACAAAACCAAAAAAATTCAAAAATTTCACATTCAAATTTTTTTAAGAATTTTCAAAAATTCTTGGTTTTGTGTGCTTTTCAGACAGTTTCCAGCATTTTTTGATTTTTCAAAAGTTTTTAATATTTTCTCTTAACTCTCCCCAAAAGATGCCTGCCAAACTCTGTGAATGACACCCTGTCTCTGCCGGACTCGGCCTCTATCTCACCCGGTAGCTGCCTGCCTCGGTGTCTGCACCAACCGGACTCTGCTGGACACCGGTCTCTTCCGGTCAGTGTCTTTGCCTTACGTGTTGTCTGCCGCACCTGGCCTCACAGAAGGCACGTTACAGCCCTGTCATACAAAGACCGGTCCGAGAGAGACCGCTTCTGCATGGCATTAGAGCCGTGTCATACAGAGACTGGACCGTGGAGAGCCTGAGTCAGGCACAGACCGCATTCGTCAGAGACACAGTACATGAGAAACAGTCCGAGAGAGGCCGGTTCTGCAAGGCATCAGGTGGTGGAATTTTAAAAAATTTCAAATTTTTCAAAATATCAAAAATTGCTGGAAATTGTCCAAAAATCGCACAAAACTAAACAAATTTGAAAAATTTCACCTTCAAAGTTTTTTTTCAAAATATTCAAATGTTTTGTTTTGTGCGCTTTTCAGACAATTTCCAGTATTTTTTATTTTTCGAAAATTTTGAAAATTTTCAATTTTTTTTCAAAACTCGCCCCAAGAGATGCATGCCTGCCTCGGTAAATGCATCACCCTCTCTCTCTCTCCCGGTAGCTGTCTCCCTCGGTGACTGCAGCAGCCAGCCTCTGCAGGACTCGGTGTGTGAACAACCGTGTCTCTGCCCGACAGTTCATCAGATACAGTCCGACAGCGACCGGTTCTGCAAGGCATCAGGTGGGGAGAATGTTGTCCCAAGTCGCAAGTCCAAAGTCGCGGAAAGTCCGAAGCCGCGAAAAGTCGCAAGTTCCACGTCTTGGAGGGTTGGTTTCGTTTTGAACACTCTGCAGGACTCGGTGTGTGAACACCCGTGTCACTGCCCGTCTCCGTCTCTGCGGTGTCTGAAGTGTCTGCCACAATTGGGCTTTTCAGACCGTGAGGCACAGACTGCGTTCGACAGAGACAAAGTACATCAGATACAGTTCGAAAGCGACCGGTTATGCAAAGCATCAGGTGGGGAGAATTTTGAAAGGCATTTTCAGAAATTTGAAAATTTTCGAAAAATCAAAAAATGCTGGAAATTGTCCAAATAGCGCACAAAATAATTTTTTTATAAATTCGACCTTCAATTCTTTTTCAAAATTTTCAATTTTTTGTTTTGTGCGCTTTTCAATTTCCAGCATTTTTTGATTTATCGAAAATTTTCAAAAAATGTTAAAAACTCTCCCCAAGATATGCATGTAAACCTCGGTGAATGCTTCACCCTGTCTGCAGGACTCGGCCTCTCTCTCGCCCGGTTGCTGTCTCACTCCGTGTCTGCAGCAGCCGGCCTCTGCAGGGCTGTGTGTGAACAACCGTGTCTCTGCCCGTCTCGGTCTCTGCCGCAACTTCGCTTTTCATTGACGTCACGTCAGAGACCGTGTGAGGCACAGACCGCGTTCTTCACAGACACAGTGCATCAGATAGTACGCAGCGACCGGTTCTGCAAGGCTTCAGGTGGGGAGAATCTCGTCCCAATTCGCGAAAAGTCGCAAGCCCCAAGTCGCGGAAACTCGCTACTCGAAATCACGAAAAGTCCCATATCCGAAAAGTCACATGTGCCAAGTCACGAAAAGTCGCAAATCCCAAGTCGCGAAAACTCGTAAGTCCCAAGTCGCATGTCCCAAGTAGCGAAAATTCGCAAATCCCAAGTCGGGAAAAGTCGCATGTCCCAAGTCTTGAAAGTTTTTAATATTTTCTCTTAACTCTCCCCAAAAGATGCCTGCCAAACTCTGTGAATGACACCCTGTCTCTGCCGGACTCGGCCTCTATCTCACCCGGTAGCTGCCTGCCTCGGTGTCTGCACCAACCGGACTCTGCTGGACACCGGTCTCTTCCGGTCAGTGTCTTTGCCTTACGTGTTGTCTGCCGCACCTGGCCTCACAGAAGGCA